TCACTAGTCCCTTCACCTGTTTTCTCTTGGCCCTGTACTTTTCCCAACTCTCCTCAGACGCCTCACTCAGGTACTGCTTGAAGACTTCTCTACGTTCCCCTATTTCTTCTTTCAGCTCGTCATCCCACCACTTAACCGATACCCCACATCGCACCACCTTCGTTCCCACTACTCTCTCTGCCGTTCAGTTGTCGGGGGGGGATAGATTTTCCACTGAGACAGTTGGGAATACGTGTCACAGAGCGTGTGTTGTGGAAGAACCTTCGGTAAGACATTCTACGCAGGGCTTTTCTTTTCGGAGATTGCAAAATAACACGCGCATTTTTTTTTTCATCTTGCAACGGAAATATGTTGCAGAAGACGCCTGGGTCGTTTGAGACGGATGCTGTTGACGTTCTGGTCAGGGGGGTTCTTGTGTACGATAATTTCTCTTGGTCTTTGAGCCGAAGGTTACATTATGTGCAACCAGAGCGATAAGAGAGATGAATCCCTTCACGACCTTGAGGGATGACGTTTTCAGGGTGGTGAACGAACCTGCGTGCGGTGATGGATAGATACTTTTGGAATGCGGGCATGCAAGAGGTTGGCTCAGGGTTTGATTCCGCTTGCTGGTGTTGCTTCGAGTTGCCACGCATCTGGTTTTGACGGAATGTGTTGTTGCTGCTTTGCCCGTGTTGCTGTCTCTGTCTCTGTGTCTGTCTCTTACCCCCTTCCCTCATCTCCCCCGTCTCTCTCTGCCAATCTCTCCTGGTCTTGTTTCGCTCTCCTTTCCGTGTCTGTCTGTATCTTGTCTAAATGTCCGTCTCTGTTTGTCTGTCTGCATAAATGCCTCCCTCCCTTCCTCCCTCTCTCCTTCCCTCCCTCCCTCTCTCCCCCGCTTTGTCTCCGTCTGTCTGTCTTTCCCTGTCTCTCTCTTTCTCCTCCCCTCCCCTCCCTCCCTCCCTCCCTCCCTCCACCCTTGGCTCAATCCCCCTCGCTCTCCGAATCGCAGGAGGTGGTGGAGAAGCTGCGACCCTGCGGACAGATATCCTACGCCGATGTGGCTCGAGCGGCGGAGAGGTCGGGCAGGCGACGATTAGCCACCATGCTCTTAGACCTAGAGCCCCTGGCATCGGATCAGGTAATATATCTGTCATCTATGTTCGTTGTCATATCAATTGTTCAGTTATTGTGGATATCGGTTATTTTAAAAAGCTGTATCACCGTTTGTTGTTCACGGGTAGGATCTCGTTGTCGGGATGGATCGTGCCGGTCTCACGGTAAACCGTAGGTGGCGGCCTGGTCTCCCGGATGTAGGGGATGGAAACCCACTCGCTATTGGCTGCGCCGCCACGAGTTACGATGGATGCTCCTCGGATCTACCTACTATGAGGAGCGCAACCAGGGGTTGCCCAAGGCAGATAAGACTACCGCACGCTGCATGTTGCGTGATTTCTCTTCGTCTCGATAAGAGTAAGGTGCCCGTGTTGCTCTTGGCACGAGAGCGCGAGGTCGGGTCTTGCAAGTTCTTGTGGAGGTGCTTGTGGTAGCTTTGCTTTCGTGTACATGACGGCATGCCATCACCGAGGCTGGCTAGGTGTACACGAAGCACTTCTTTTTTCCCGTCGCGTGCACATGATCTATGCCGCACAATCTTTCCCCCCTCTTCATCTCTACAGGTGCCCCTCATGCTCTCGATGCGAGAGGACGAGTTGTTGTCCAAATCATCAAAACCATTTTATCTCTGCATGGCACTCAAATCTCTCCAGGTTCCTCTGCTACTTTCGATGGGAGAGAACGAGCTGGGTCTTAAGAAGGCCATCCTCTCCGGCGAAGATGACCTGGTGTACCTTTCGGTGATGCACATCGAGCAGGAGGCCGGGTCGTCGGAGAAAGGGAGGGAGGCGTTTTGCGAGCTCATGCACGCCCACCCGGAGGCCCTCCGCCTGCTCAAGGTGTCCTTGGAAATTTCAAGTGTCTGTTGAAGCAAAGCATGTGGTGATTTGGCCCCAATGCTTCGGTACTACTGCTGTACCGCATTTTTTTTTAAGCAAGGCATCATCGCGACTTAGGCTCCAAGGTAACGTCGGAGTTTAAGAATTTATTGAAGAAAAGCATGTCGCTTAAGGGGTCATGACGAACGCACATGTGTGGGACACGTTGTGTGTTTTTATGTGTGGCTTAGGCCCTTGTGTATGTTGACCCCCATCTATTCTGTCACCAGTGTACACACATTTCGGTTTTTACGGTTGGCGTATCTCCACCCGCACGCAGGAAGGTCACGAAAGAGCTTCGCTTTTCTTTGTGTCTGTGCTCTTGGTACATGTATCGTTTCGAAACAGGTGTACTACCGCGAGAAGGGGGGTTACATGGAGCGGAAGAAGTTGCACAACCTGTGCGTGTTCAGCAAGCAGTACCTGGAGGCGGGCACCTTGGCCGTAAGAAAGGCCTACACGCAGGTCCGGTGCAATGAACCTACATGACTTGCGGCTCTCTTTCTCTCCCTCGCGCGCGTGCTGTCTGTCTCGCTCGCGTGTCCGACGCAACGGCTTGGTATGTACCTTGTACACCGCATGGCGTTCTGGTTGATGTTCAAATGTGACTATTCATACACGTCTTGCTGTAGAACAACAAGAGTTCACCCATGGAGTGAATTTGAGTACTGCAAACACGCAGCAAGTGGAAAACCGGGGAGGGGGGTTGCAGTTGACGACATGGAGTTACAGTGGGGGTGGTCCCCGATTGTGGCGGTCTGAATGAGGCGATCGCCCTATGTAAAGCGGGTGGAGGTGGCTGGCATAGGCAGAGTAATCAAGCTGTTCCACGTATTGAATCACGGGGTAGTAACGCGGTCATTTTCAGCTGCACCACCGCAACCTGCCATATTCGGGAACCTCCGTTGTTGTCGAACAACGCCTCTCTGTCGTTCGCGAGACAGCGCCAAGCGTCCTCCACAGCCATCACGATTGATTGTTGCGTTTTTTTTCAGGAACGCCTGGACGGTAGGCTGGAGGGGTTGAAGGAAGCCGAGGGGATGTTCGCACACCGCAAGGAGCTGGCGTTTCAGCAGGCCTGCACCAAGGATCAGGCGGAGCTGCTCGAGTATCAGAGGTACAGTACCTATTTTAGGTCTCTCCTCCTCTCGTTGCTAGCCGTGGCTGTGGCTGTGGCTGTGGCTGTGGCTGTGATGTTGGTGATGTGTCGCTGGTGCTTCTGTCAGTACTGCTGCTATCTTACTAGTGGTGCTGTTGCTGGTGTCCCCGCTTCTGCTGTTGGTGATGTTTTTTCGCCTTGTTCCTTCCTGTGGCTACTGCTGTCGTGGACGGTGTTCTTTGGCAGGTCGTGTGCGGGTTACGGCTGGCGGTTTTTGACCGCCCCCAATCCCGCGTACCAAGCTCTCTCGATACATCGTCCCACCGTTCCCAAGTTTCTGCTGTTGTCTTCCACATGAAAAATCTTTCCGGTCTCTGCTCGGTACCTCCTACAATGTAACGTCCGTACCGGCCCGCCGGACGCGGATGCCTCCCGGCGTCGCGGGTCAACTACCCAGAAGAGGGGTACACACTCCTATAATTAGCCAAAAAAATCGACTCTAATCCCAAACTCTAGCCACAAGTGGAGCCAGTACAACGCCGAAGCTGCACCTGCCCCCACCGCGCACACAGGGATTTGGAGCGAAAAACGGGTCTGGATGTGTTCGTGGACATGTCGGTGAGCGAGACGTTGTACCACCTGATCGTTGTCGGTGCGACGGGAGGGGTGGAAGGGAGGGACGGGCAGCAGCTCCTTGCCGAGGCCTCGGCGCTGCAGAAGAAGCTCAAGGTCCCCGACAAACGCTTCTGGCACATTAAGATTAAGGTGAATGAATCATGTCACATCAAGATTGTGAACAAATCATGTCAAATCAAGATTAAGGTGAATGAATCATGTCATATCTAAGGTGAACATATCATGTTACATCAAGATTGTGAACAAATCATGTCACATCAAGATTAAGGTGAATGAATCATGTACAAGCAGCCGTGGGTCGGATACAAGAGGGTTGTGCGACTTAGGGTCTCGACACTCTTACATCGAAGCCCCCCCTTAATCCGGAATAAGAGTGTACTCAACTATTCTACAGAGGGTCGAGTCCGTGACAGCCGATTTCGACTCTCTCCTATCGGAGCCACGACCTTATGTACACAACGACCATTTGTGATGATAGTGGCTGCTTCGGTCGTTGTTGCTGTTTCCACCCTTGCCCCGAGAATGAAAAACACGATGAATCAAAAAACATAAATAAATCATTCTCTCGAGAACCCGGTGGTGGTTATGGTCGCTCACACTTCCTTCCTTCATGTGCCGATGGCAAGTCCATTCCGTCGATACACGTTGCGGTCGCCACCAGATTCGATTAACTGCAAGGTGTCGACCGATAACTTGAGCCGTTGCCGTTCGGTAAGCGGCCCCGTACACCGCAGCCATGGTACCACGGTCATGCTTCGGGGCGGTTGGGTTCACGTTTCTGCCCTGCAGCATCAGCAGCAGCCGCCTCACGGCATGCTGTCGTCAACGATTTCGATAAAAAAAGTACTGCCACGTTGATCGGCGCGCGCAAGACTCCGGCGTCTGCGCGCACGTCGACTATCATGACAATTTTTGAAACAGCTTCGTGTTCTATTGGGCAGGGGGGTGTACCCGTCGTGTAAACGCATGCCGCAGTCGTTAGACCATAGACCTCGCATCCCTACAATGCCGAGACGGAGCGACATCGCCGGCCAAGGCTGCATGACAAAATGACGGACCAGAAGCTGGTTATCGCCCTTGCGTTTGCTGTGCCAATCCGTTGGCTCAGGGTGTACATTTTTACGAAATTTATCCCACAGCACACGCCACGGGGCTCAAACGTTCGGCTGGTAAAAACACTATGTTTTTTTCATGCTTGCTTTTTTCAGACGCTGCCTTGTTAGGAAAATGCTACCATTGTTTAACGCTACCATTTTTTTTTTTTGTTTCAAAAAAGGTATTTTTGGCTAGAAAACTTTTTTTCGTGCGCTTTTTTTTTTTCAGGCGCTGGCCTCCGTGGGGGAGTGGGAGGCCCTCCGAAAGTTCGGGGCCGAGCGCAAGAGCCCCATCGGTTACAAGCCCTTCGCCTTGGCCTGCATGCGGAAGAAGCAGACGGGGTTGCTCGGCGATGACACGGAGCGGTACATCACTGGCTACATCGAGAGGGTGAGTGTCGCTCGGTCGAGATGGGCGAGGAGACGTAAGAATGAGGATATGCTGGCCGGGTTCGAACAGATATGGGACGGGGTACCGTACAAGGCAAAGCGTAACGTTGCAGCACCGGTTACATTGAGGGGGTGATTGAGACTGAGATGTACAAGCCAGATTATTCGCACGCAACCCTGCGGGCTGCTTCGGATGGGTGCGGGAAGGGGCTTTGGATGGGGTATAATAACCAAAAAGGAGCACTGCATCATGGAGAGGGTGGGTGAGGGTGAGATGTGCACCGTAGAAGCGTGCCTTTATCCTCGGCTTCCCCCTTTCCGAAACGCGATGGTGGTGGGGTAGGCAGAGAGAGAGAGGAGATGTGGCGAGGTGGGGGTAGGAGAGTGTCGAGAGAGGCAAAGACTAATTCCCCTTTTGCGCGGATGTACTCCCATCTTCCTGTAGTTTACGGCCTGTTAAGTGACTCTTCATATCCAAGGCTTTTTTCGCCCTCTGAATAATCGAGCGGTCTCTCACTCTTCAGCGCCCTCCCTCTGTTCCGTAGTTCGAGAACGCAGCTACCATGCACTCCGTTGGTGGTGGGTTAGGGTCAAGGTTGACCGTGGGTTGGGTCGGCCACGGGCGTTTGACACATCCCGTGTGTGGAGCGCCGGTTCGACATTCGGTCAGACCTAAAGAGTCAAGCGTAACTAGACCTCCCTTGTTGACAGAATTCGAGCAAGGCTGTGCGGTGGGTTTCAAACACATTCCGAGGCGTTGCTGGGGGGGGGTGTACTCATAGTCGTGCATGCCGTAGTCGTTAGACCATTGACCTCGCATCCCTACAAAGCCGGGACGGAGCACGCCGGGT